ATTTATCAAAAAATTTGGCAAGAAAGTAAATATCTTTATTGTGTTGTAATTTTTCCATAGATGTACAAAAAAATACTAAATTAGAGAACTGTAATATGTACATTAAAAATATAAGGCAAAATATAAAATGCGTAAAATACGATATACATAAGAAACAATGAAATAAACAATAAAAACAATATAAACAATAAAATATAAAAATCAAAATGTAAAGAAAAATCAAAATGTAAGTATGTATGGAATTAATTGTCATTTCAATTATCCTCAGTTTTAGCAATTTTCGATATTGATATCCATACAAGTGACATATACAATATACATATATAATATCTCAAAAACAAGCATTCGTTTTAAGTAGATATGTTAAAATATATTATATGTATATGCATATATATGCATGTATATGTATATGTACAGTGTACAGATATGTATATTTATATAATGTACATAGATAATTATATGTGTAATTATTATATATTTTATAATACACGATGATAATTTACTTAATATTATATATTATGTAAATTATATTTAAATTATATTAATATTATATATTATGTAAATTATATTACATAAAAATTACATACAAATGATAAAGCATCTAATTCAATTTAATTCTAATACAATAATTTCTATTCAATACCAATTTTTTTATCTGCTTATACAAAAGCTACAACTGTGAGCTCTATATATGCGAGTTATATATGCGAATTATTACTGATGAGTCTTCTTTGTAAAACTTTCAATTCACTTCAAAATAAACTTCTTATAATATTAACATGAAAATATCAAGGTTTGATATTTTCAAGGTTCTTATACCTTTCATATCAATCAGAATATGCATCACACATATGCATATCATAATAATAATAATATTGCTATATCAATGCTTTATCATTGCGTGTCAATTAAAACAATTAAAAACATTTATTAATACCTAATGGAATAATAATTAATAAACTAATAAAAAAATCGATTCACTAAAACACATTTAAAATATTCTTAAAAAATATTCTTAAAATAGAAGTTTCCAAGTATCAAGTCTTTGATAATGTATATTGTGAATCGTATTATCGTGATTGTTAATTTATTCTGCAATAATTAAATAAAAGAACTGAGGGATTATTAATTAATTAATTAAATTCATACAATGGCGCGAACAAAAATAAAATTCAACGCTTTTATCTAACTTTCCAGACCAGACTAAAATAAATTTTTCTAGAAAACATGGATAGAAACAAATACGCCCTACATATATAGGATTACGTCTTATAGGATAAGGCCCAAAAAGTATAAACGTATGAGTAATCGTATCGTATAGTCCAAACGATTTTACATAATATTCCAAACAAGGATTTCCACAATGGATGCAATATTTCATATCGAATAAATGTCTAGTTATCATAATTGGTATTGGTAGTTCTCCTGCGAAATCAGATTGCTTCCTACAAAATCACTTGAATAATAATTTTGTTCTATATATTACATATTATGTAAGACGACAAATATACAAAATATACAAATAATAAAATAAAATAGCAAACCATTGTTTTATAACTATTCTAGCTGAAAATTCAAAGAGACTTTGTGACTTTAATGGCATCACTATTTCCCTCGGATGATTAAGTGGATTATCCTTAATATTTAGATATAAATTATTTTTAAAAACACTTGATGGCAAATACGCCAATTTGTTATTTGATACGTCTAAATTAATTAAATTTCTTAGAAATCCTATAGCTTGTGGTAAATATGTCAATCTGTTATGACTAATGCACAACTTTTTTAACTTTCTTAACATCATAATTTGTATCGGTAATACAGTCAACTATAAAAAACAATAAATTGTTAAAAATGGTAATAATTAAGAATTATTTAGCAGATGACATAAAATACAATTTAAAATAAAGATAATAAAAAAGTATAATAATTGTAAAATAATAACTACATACCAAATTCCTTGGTAAATATAGGTACAATAAATTGTTCCGGATGGG